TATACTATTTCCTACCATGAACCTAATCACCCGCGGTTCTATGATAAGTCGGTACTGACTCATAAGTTAATGATACATGTTAATAATTTATGATATTTATATAGATAATAACTACCTATTTTTTTTTTAATCGTTGCTACGGTGATAAACAAATTGTTAGAAATTAAAATCCCATTTTAAGCGGTTTTTCGTAATTTTTCAGTACTTTTTCCCGTGGCATTAAATAACTATTGAGAAAATCGAAAAATGACCTATCTAAAGTACCATCTTGGTCCAATTTGCTAAAAGATAAGGTACTATATGTTGAAATCAAAGCACTCCTTCTGGTAGAAATTTTGTATACAGGATATAAAAAAATAAAAAAAAATAAAAAATAAACACCATTGTAAAACCACTAGCTTCCTTGCTCCGCTCAGAATCTAAAATTAAATTATACACGTACCTACATGTATTATACGCGTACGGTCGGTCGTAATATTTCTAAACGCGATTGCGAAGCGAACCGACCGATTTCGTAAGAAAAGCTTATATATACGGCTTTAGAAAGACGTCAACTACACGATTCGGGCACGAACGACGTGCGAAAAGACGAAACTGTCGGAGACAACGAAAAAAATCGGCAAAAAAGTCCAGCCGGGAGCGTATTTTGCGATCGACATTGCGACGGCTACGGACGGCGAACGGATATAAACCGCACACCGGCGGCTTCGAGAGATCGCGAGCTACGCGAATCAAATATAAATATGAGCGAAAAAGGCTAGAAAACGGTCGAAATCGTGTAAAAAGAGTAAATTTCGAAAATTTGAAAAATGATAAGAAAAGAAGTGATAACGCGGTTATTGCCCGCCGCAGAATCTGAACGTTGCGATTGGCCGGGCCGGAAAAACGACACGAAAGTCGTCTATCCCTGTTTACAAAACTGGAGACTATTCGCGTTTTATAATATAAGAGAAGAGATAGATGATATAAAATACGTATTTTTATTTTCATTGTTAATTAAGCACCTAATTAATAAATAACTAGGTAGATACCAAATGTTTAATTTATTTTTATTATAATATTTAGGTGTAACAAATTTAAAAAAAATATGCTTATAACTGCAGTTGTAATTAAATGTTTAATGTTTCATGTCATAGGTTATAGGTATTTGTCTATATATCTGTTTGTCTAATTTTTTATTTTAACTTGTAAATATATTATTACTAAAAATTACTTGTAATGCTGTACTAAATGCTGTACTACTGTATTAAATTATGTTATAACTTATAAACTTATAACCATGAATATAAAACTGTCGATATTAATTTATATAAAGGTATTAAATGTATCATTTCCTCCCCCCCCATATATGCCAACCTTTTATTAATGAACAGTTCATTATGAACTCTTAAGTAAGTATACATAATATTATTATTTATAAAAATGGGTGGATATACATACAATCTAATATTATATCTACAGTTTGTTTCCAAGACATAACATTTCAAATGAGTCTTTAAAACTAATATAAAAACAAACAATTACATGAGTAAATACATTTTTTAGCAACCATGTTGTGTCTTTTACGTTTTAACTTTAGGTAACCTGAAGCACTTTTCGTACCATATTTGATTATTCTCCTATATACCTACGTATCTATTAGTCATGATTTAAATAGGTAGTTAATATTAATAAATATAAACAGCATAATATACCTAAACCGCTAAACATAAGTATAAATTAATAAATCTTTGGAAAATTTCATTGAGCACCTATTGAAAGTTATGATTTAAGTAACAATGGATTGTTTCAAGTTTCAATGAATAATATTTTTTGAATACCTAACAAGTATTTAAATTAAATAACAATGTTTTGTAATTTATATTTTGTACAGTATGTTTGTATTAATTTTGTATGAAAATATGTAAACACGTTGTAAAATAGTATGTAAGTTTATGGGTTTATGGCTGATTTTCTGTTAACCGTATATTTGGTTAACCCTTATAGGCTTGGTAAAGACCGTGACGATTAATCGAGTTTCTACTGTACATATAAACAGATTATGTAGTGACAAAATATTTTATTTCGTAAAATAGCAATAACTGTTCAGTATAATGTTGAAAATTACCTAACTTTTTCCGAAATAACAAAAAGAAAATACAATTTTCTCATTTAGGTAATATAGTCAAAAATTACCTTTATATATTTTACATATATCTCTAAGCTAAGTAAAAAAAAATATCGGAGTAGCCACTAACGTATAATAACAGGACACCGAGTTTTAACATTGAAAAATCGTCCTAATTTATGTAAATTCTTTGCCAAGCTCTACAGGGCAAACGGCTGAACATATAAAGCCGTATGAGATATCAATCGATCATAAATATTGCGCAGATGGGAACAGAGGAATTCGATAGCAGATTGGTTACATAGTTTATAAGTTATAAGCAAAAATGTTCAAGTACTTTTAAGACCGATTTTGCGTACGGAATAGTGGGGATGGATAAGCGGTGGGTCGGGGAACGAAAATATCGTAAATATTTCCCAGCAAGATAGACGACCAGCAAGATAGTATATAGAATTATAGATTAATAGGTACTTACTGACGACTCAACAACTGTGATTGTTTAGTGAATTCGTGATCCAGCGCGACGGTATTATATTATTATGCTCAGAACTCGGAACAATAATAAAATAAAATAAACAACCTGGTGATTAATTCATTACCCGTGGGCACAATTAAGGTCGATGGCAAATCATATTATCTTAATTATGTGATTTGCCATCATGGTCCATCTATAACTCAAGTCTCAAGTCCATTACACATCAGTATAGAACGAATTTTAATTTAGTATACAATTAAAAATATTTAAATATATATTTGTTTATTACTTAATAAATATTTATTTATAAATGTATAATATTTAAATATTTAAATTGAAAATAACATAGAATTATTAAATAATTAATTAAAAATATAAAAAAATTAAAAATCTATTCTGATTCATCATAGTCTTCATGTGGGAAACAGTTAGAAACAACATAGGTAAGTTAGAAACAGCCTATAGCTTGAAATTTTCAAATGTAAAGTGGCGGCGGTTCGGTCTTAACATTGCTTTGTAACGGCTGGTAGAGTTAAATCCGGGTACATATCTTTAAATGTTTGTATACAACTTGGCGCTTTTAAAAATATTTTTTTTACGTTGGAAATTAACGACCGTTTTGTGCGAGCTACTTTGGGCATATTTAAATAGTTAACAATATTATATTATACAAACTACACACACGGACACAATACGAAAATAACGTGATCGAATAACGCTCATACAAATACTGATCGAAAAGCGAACGCATATACCTACTCGTATACTGAAATAATTACTACCTACTACTTAGATATCGAATCGTTGCCGTTTGATGTCAAAAGTGTACAGTACAGAGACGTAATCGCAAAATACTAAAATAAAAATGGAAATTCTTCAATAATACAGAATACGTATATTTATTTGTAAAATAATTAATATATACACGGAAATTCTACAATATTACATAATTTATGTATTTATTTGTAAAAAAATTTAATTATTCTAAAATATTTAAAAATATTTAATTAGTCTAAAATATTTAAAAATATTTATTTTAATTAAAATCCTTTCCCTACACATCAGTTATTAAACATAATAATAAAATATGGCTTGGATGTAACGATATAATATTTATATTATAGTTGTAGAAAAAAAAACTAAAATAGAAAAAAAGATATAACAACAGGAGGCCAACGATGCATATGCTATAATGGTTTATTATTATTATATACAGTCAAATAAAATCGCGACTTATTTCATAAAACAAATAGTTGATATCACACCAAAAACACTACGTTATAACTCCGTGTAAAAAAAAGCTAAGTTAAAAAAAAAAATTTAGTAATGTTTAAATCTTTAAAAGCCGTGATATAATATGGAAATTAAGTAAAATGACATTTTATAATATTACAAATACCTATGATGACAAATAAGATCAATTGTAATGTTAAATACTTAGTCAACATGTTATTTTTAATTATTTGGCAGGACGTAGAAGTATAGTTAAATAAATAAGATTAAGTAATCACTACAGTATTTACAGTAATTAATAATGTATCAACAATATGTTGACTAAGTATTTAACATTACAATTGGTCTTATTTGTCATATGTAATAATATTTGATATGATTAATGAATATGTTAATAATGTTGCTAGTTTTTATCTTTTTTCTTATAGCTTAACCAAACAATATATTTCCATCTTCTAAATCTCAATTTAATTGTGTTAGTAACGTAAAAACTATTTGAGTCTAGAATTAAAAAAAAAAAAAAACGATATAGGAATCAAATAAAAGTAACTATAATACGTTGTTTGAAAGACGTTAATGGTCACAAAATTATGTTGTGAAATCTAATGTTAATGCACAAATGATAAATATTTAAATGACGCAAACATAAAATTGTTATTTTTAAAATTGATTTAAAACTGTACAACCATAAATATCAATCAAACAGTTTATGTTAAACGACGTTTGTTACATAAATAAATAATTAGACATAATAATTCATTAAAGGCACTAGAGTTACCTTTTGTATCATAACTTAAATAAAATATATTGAAGTGTTTTATTAGGGCACCAATTTTTAAGGGCTGAATTTGGAATCTGGAAATTGTTCGCCGGCCATCAAAATTGCTGACGTTGGTGAAAACTAACGAACAATAAATATAAGTTACAACTTCAGAACGTATTAACTGTTTTTACTTTTTTTCTTGTCTGCAGGCCTTTATTTCAGCCATAATAACCCTGTATCTACTGGGATCTGATTTGATATGTTCCCCTTGGTGAATCGTCAATGAACATTTATTCATAAATTGTGCATCACAAATAACACAAAACATACTGATACTTGAATACCTTATTTTTTTTGGGAATATAATATTTTGGTGGAAAATGAGCAGAGCTTGATGAATGATTGTCTGAAGAAATCTGCGATCAGTCATTGGTATTCCGTTTTGTTTTAACGGTTAGCATCATCTGATTGTCATCAGGTGACTTTGGACTAATGGTGTTTGTTCTATTTGAAATATCTTGAACTTTAATAATATCGCAACCATTTGGTTTTGTGTTCGACTCTTCTACACTTTCATCGCTACTAATATAGATTACATCACCTTCTTTCTTTAATGTCTTAACAGTTGCTTTTTTTGAGTTTATTGAACCCTTGTCTGATGAAGATTTGGATACAGTCACAACCGCTCTGGTGTTTTGGTAACACCTAAAAAACATAATGACAATATTTCAATTATTATTGTATATTTCAATTTAAAACTATTAGAAATTAATAACTATACCTATTTCTTGTTTTGCGAGTGTTCAAAGTTTCTAAATCCATAAGTTTAGAATCACTTAAATGCTTATTCAATTTTTTTTTATTCTTAGATTTCTTTAACTTGTATTTTTTATAAACATCATTATAAGTATTTAGTTTGTAATTTATTAGAGTTGTATGGCATGATAATTTATTAAAATGCAATCGATAATTGAACCATTTGTTAAATTTTTTATGACAACGACGACATATCACTCGTCCATCGTCATCAAGGTAATAAAAACATATTTCTTCGTAAATCTAAAATACAAAACCAGTCATAGACACAACCAAGGATCAATATAACATTAACATTTAACAACATTTTTAATACTCACATTGATATCATTTTTTTCTTCCATAGGCCTAAAAAAAAAAAATCATTTTTGAATATTTTGAACTTCTAAATTGAGCTTGAATAAAAAAAAATGGAAATACCTTTGAATTTTAACTGGTTGTAGACCAACATTTTTCAAAAATTTTTCTTTTCGGCTTTCTATCATTTTTGGCTTCATGATCTAAAAAACAATTTAAAAGGTAATTTAAATAAGGCGTATTGAAATTTGAAATTAGTTATTAATTATTATCATTGATATATTTTTAAAAATAAAATAAATAGGTGTGACTTTAAACCAAGTTATAAATATTTTTAAATGCAATTAATTGGATCACGAGGAAATTCTGTACTCTCCTAAGTCATAATATTATCCTTCTAGTAATGGACATCACATGATTGTGAAAAAAAAACATTTAAATAGTATTAGTAATTTTATGAACAGTACTATGATATTATACATATAGTAGGCCCTATATGGATATATTGGATATACTAGGTACTATACAAATTATTATGAAATTATAATACATACCTACCTATATGTGATTTTTATAATTATTTTGCTAAGTAACATTTTTTTTTTTTTTAAATTTAATATTCATATTATGTTAATTAAGTCCGAGTTTAAACTGAAAACCTACGTAAAGTTGATAAAAATAAAAATAATTTTTAGAAAAACCTTCATCTTCTTATTCATGATAATATGTGCTAAATAATTCACTGAACGTTATGCTCGACGTTTTGTTTTTTTTTTTTGTAGAGTAATACATACTTATACTATCCATGGATAGTAATCGACAGGCTAGCAAAATATATTAGGTAGGTATGCCAATTAATCGCTAATCTACTAGATATATAGCTTAAAACAAATCTATATTATACGACTCTATAAACGTGTCTTCCAGTAGACATTTCGATGAAAATACCTCTATTCAAACTTTTTGTTACCAGTTTTGATTGCAAAGCTTGAACAAATTGTTTTTCTTTATGCAACCAATCACACTTGTTGAACGTTTGCAGGCATTTTTAAAATGAGACCGCCAAGTACCTCATGCGAAAAAACTTTCAATGAGCAATCGGCACACAGTTTAAATTAGGTATTCATTATCATTAGGTATCGTAACACTCAAGAATCGAAAGTGAGAAGGCATACAAATATGGAGATAAGATTGAAAAAAAAATTATAATTTTTAACCAAAGATACATAGGTAAATGTATTAACCCCGACAATCATTTATTAATGTAATTATGAGAAGTTATGAGCTAAAATTACAAATATCAATAATGTAAGTTTACACCATCTGTTTATTTTATCAATCCCTATACTATATACCATTTTCAAAATATTTTGAGACTCGTTTTGAGTTGGTTACAGACAGTTTAAATTTTAAATTTGTTTAGTTTTTTTTCTACAAATGTCAATACAATTTTATTTGTTGGGTCAAAAAGCGTTAAATATAAAACAAGGCTCCAGATATATCGTTACAATAGCGGTTTAAAAATATTAAAAATAAAAATGATTTTATAGTTAAAAATTTATAAAATATTCCAGTTTTATAGCTGAGAATTGATAATTTAAGACAAAGTTCAGCGTATATACTATACAGGGTGTCCCGTGAGGATTTACTCATTGCGATATCTCCTGAAATAATAGAGATATCGTAATTCTGTTTTCTTATTAAGACTCAGAGAGGTAAGCACTACAAATAACTAATTTTTTTATTTTTTTTTATGTTTTGGTAAAAAAGTTAAAAAAATATTTTTTTAATTAATAATTTTAAAAAATATTGTAGATTTCCATTTTGTAGAGTTCATTTTTCTGAAAATATTGACTTTTCACCATTTTAATTTCATTAATTTCCTGATTTTTAATAATTTTTTTAATTAATAAGTAAAACGGCAAAAAACCGGTTTTTGTCCGGGCGGCGAGTCCCCCTCTACGGCTAATAGGTAAATCCTCATGGGACACTCTATATAGGTTATTAAAATTATTATGTTATATATACTTTATTCACAAAAATATCATAAAATATACTTAGTACCTAATATCATAGGCTGGCTGACCGTCTTCGCTCAGAATGGTTTTTCTTATACAATGATATTATATCATTGAATCCAAATTTAGCACTATCCATTACAGTGACCCACTTGTAACCTACTGTACAGCAGAACAGAACGTTACCCACTTTCCCGATTTTTTTAATTTTATCATTTTCAAACATGTATATTATAACAATTCATACAAATTGCATAGGTACCTAATAATTGATAAAGTAGCTGGTAGGTTTAAATACCTAGCTTTTTGAGAATTTTTACTACAAGATTTTCAGTTTTATCGTTTAGTGATCTAAGATTTACTAATCATATGCATGGACGAATTATTTAAGACGAATCTTAAAGATTTTAACATAAATAAGCATATGAAATATTAATTCCATTTTTTTTTACGTAATAAATGTAATAATATAAAACTCAGATTTAAGTAATTTAATCTAAAAAATATGAGATTTAACTAAAATGAATTCAAGGATCAATTTTATATTAGTGTATTGAAGATTTTCAGATAAAACTAGGGGCTTGACACGAATAAGTACTTCTCAAGCACCCCCTTATATGATATGCTATATCTATAACTTTTGAAGGTGTACATTTTAACGGCGGAATGAAACGCACTAACGAATCACAAACAAATGTTATTTTTTTTCATATTTGGACCAGGAATTTAAAATGGGGTTGCAGTCATATGCCCCCAAAACTTTAGGAGTACGAAATAGAAAAATGCCGTGCCAATAGGTATATCTGGCAATTACAACGTTATAGAAGAGGTGGACTGGCACTGGTGGAGACTGGAAAATAGAATTGGTTTCTATTATGACGTCATATCCATCACGCATACAATTATAGAATAACCCCCAGTCATGAGACACGTACCTATACCAGACTGGAACCTTTATGATTTTATCGGTTTGGATTTAGGTTTCGGTTCTCAAAAATAAAAAATATCGGTATCGGTTAATACCGGTTATAACCCTTTATGTTTGACTTTAGCTTTTTATTTTATTTTTATCAATTAAGTACTGTATAACAAATTAGCATATTAAGAACCTCTATTCAATGGCAGGTATTAATTGTAATTAAGTGTAACTATTTCCGAGCTTAGGTAATATAATATCATTAACACTTAAACTATAAAAGCTGTATTTAGTATTATAATATTCAATAATTTACGAACTGTTTATGGAAGTTTCCCTATAACATAGTTTCCCTATGTTTCTCTGAACATGGTAAGATTTACAAAAAAAAACATTACTGGATTATAATATGTAGATATATTGTATATTATGACTATCAAAAAATAAATTATTATATATTTAATTCATAACTAGATATCCACTATATCTACCTCTTTTATATTAGTTAGGTAATAATATTTATATTTTTAAGTAATAGACGATACCCACATTAGGCATTTAATATTATAACTGCAGCTATTAGTTAAGGACCAATTTATTATAAGACAACTTACTCTTAAACACTTATAAACGTACAAATTGTTATTATTTTTGGAAATTTTACATTAGTTATTCCAAATTGCGATGGAAATTAGAATTTGTTTTATGACAATTTTGTTGTAGCTACGAATTTTCGAAGTGAACCGAGAATGAACGATTATCGAACTGGCAAATTATATCGTAATGAAAGAGAACGATAAAATGTAAATTCAGATCGAGTAAGAAGGAAGACAAGGAACTTGTGTGACAGCACCAAAAGAACACGGAAGAAGCCTGCAAACTGTGGATGCAGTGGTGGTGGTGATGGTGGAACGACCAACCATCAAGGCGACGGTCACCTAGGAAGGGAATGACACAGATCTCAGGACGATCTTTCAATCAAAGTATTAAACGACTACTCTCTTGTGAGGCTGCGGATGAGTGGGTTCACCAGTCGTCCACCAGACACCTCCAAATACTACGACCTTAACTTAGTGCCAGGGGCTGTCCACTATCACAACCCCTTCTACACACGATCGAGCCGTAATCACCATAAAGATCAGTTTCGGTTCGTGCGCCAATAATACCGTGTGTTCAATTTTAAAGGTAACAGGAAATATTTCGATCGTGTGACATTGAATTTGAATCGGGGTTTTTATACTGCATATAGGACTTATAAATACAATTTTTTTTAATAAATTCAAATTTTTAATTTTTTTTATCAGCGCATGCGCAGTAAAATAAAAATTTCTTAAATAGCAACCACTATTTTGGAGACAGGATTTCGATTTCTTTATTTTTTCTGAACAACTTTGATCTTTACAGTTTGTTGATATCTTCAAAATTGCCATGTTTATGACTGTCGGAAGTTTTAAAATAGTTAATTTGTAAATATTGCATTTTTCAACGTCTATCCTTAATTTATAGGTATTTATAGGTATTATTATAACAATTTATTTTTATTAAAACTACTAAATTATCTACTTCTATTATCTTAATTTGTTTTTAATAGTATTATAATGAAAGTTATACTATTAACCTGTGTGAATAAGATATTTTGATAGCATTCTAAAATTGATTGTGAATAGTCAAACGTTTTTCGTGAGTCGCGCGTGACACATTATTTTTTGTACATTGGCAAACTATTCCGAAAAAACCGATATGGTATTAATTTTTGGAGAATGTCATCAAAATTCGCGTAACGCAGGGGCACTTTATGCTGAACGATATCCCGAGAGATATCATCCACCACACAATTATTTACGAATTAACTATTTTAAAACTTCCGACCGTCATAAACATGGCAATTTTGAAGATATCAACAAACTGTAAAGATCAAAGTTGTTCAGAAAAAATAAAGAAATCGAAATCCGGTCTCCAAAATAGTGGTTGCTATTTAAGAAATTTTTATTTTACTGCGCATGCGCTGATAAAAAAAAATTAAAAAATTGAATTTATTAAAAAAATATGTATTTATAAGTCCTATATGCAGTATAAAAACCCCGAATCAAATTGAAGGTCATACGATCGAAATATTTCCTGTTACCTTTAAAATTGAACACACGGTATAGCAAAATAAATAAATACCTTCTACGAAGTACGAACCTCTGTCGTTGCCGGAACGAGTGCAGAAATCTGCTATGGCACCGGCGCAGTTGTCGTGTAGAACTTCGTCCGGATAATATGG